TGTAATTGTATAGTACACCTCAGGGACAGTATTTTCACAAGTACTGTCTTGATCTTCCCAGTATGCTTATGAGGTAGGTAGGTCTTATTGTGTTCATTTTGTGTTTCTTCGACTCCAGGGTTGGATTGTGCTTTGCTACTGATTAATTCCGGGACCTTGAGCAAAACCTATGACCTTTCTGGGCCCTGCTTTCCCCATCTTCACTATAATGGGGATGGGTGTTCAGTAAGGATACGCTAGAATTTCTTTGATCTGTTTTGAAAAAGCCACACATGGTTCTTAAAACTTTTATTACCCAATAATATACACATAAAAAATTTTTTGTAGTAAAGATGTGAACAGTTGTGTGTCCTACACACATTGAAAGATGACAAGCCATTGGAAGACTACTTGAAACTCTGGAATCTGCTATGGCCAGGGAGTGAGTTGCTGTGTTGATAATTTAGCCTGATTATATTTTGATCGTAAATAGATCACCAATTCTTAAAAAGCTGGTATTGCCGGCCCTCCTTCCTTCCTTCTTCCTTTCTTCCTTCCATTTGTCAAAAAGCCATTAGGCACGTCTCAGCAAGGAGACCTATCAGGGCAAATAAGCAAACATATTGAAGGTAACAGGAGTCGGACTTCTGACTATGGGAGAACAGTTACAGATATAAAAAAGGGGAGAGCTAGAATGAACCCTGTATTGTGGGTAGGAATTTAAGGTTTCATTGTGAATGTGTGGATTCTGATACGTAGAAATTTTATAGATATAGAAATTTCAGTGTAGAAATATTATAAACATTAAAGTGTACACATGTCTATGAATAAATGCACACTCACACACACCCACACACACCCACACCTCACACCCCAAACCCATTTCCTAACTCTGTTCACCGAAAGAGCCAGGATGCAGTGACAGCCCAGTAAATATGAGCACATCTGCTACCTAGATTGTAGTTTCTAAATTCCAGTTTGTGCTTAAAGCAACTATGGGTCTTTGAAAAAAATATCTGATTCTAGAGCTGGGAAAGAAAAGGTACAAGTTGAGCCCTGAATGTCTTGTGACAGAAGATACAGAAACTCTGAAAGAATATTGGGAGATGCCACAAGAACGCAGCAGTCAGCTTGAAGGGATTCTCACTAAACCCATGTGAAACCTGGAACAATTTGAGCACCAAAATGACAATGATAGTTACAGGTTATATCCCACTAAACAAGAAATACATGAATCCACACTTGCATAAATAAATAAATGCATGAAAATGTGGTGAGAGGAGAAAGTTCTCCCTTAAAATAGAACACTGATATATAGAAGGAATTCTGGAATTGGAGAGATTACCATTTGGCAGTCATCATAGTAATAATTAATCCAGGTAAGAAACATCAACGGATGTTAACAATAGTGAATACAGGTTGGATGAGGATCAGAATCTTTATATAACCATAGTGAATACAAGTTGGATGAGGATGAGCGTCTTTATATAACCATAAAGTATCTGTCCACAAATCCTTATGCATTTTAAGGGGAAACACAGGAGCTTTACTGGAGAAACTTGGAAGACACAACCTTACTCAAGTGATCAGAGATCTCATCAGCAGTGATGGGACAAACAGTGTTCTGTGTCACTTGATGGGATGCAATGAGAAGAACATAGCATCTCTTCCAAACAATGCAATCTTCAGATCTTTTCATGAGAACATATCTCTAATCCCAGTTCAGGGGCATTTTACAAATTAATTCACCTGCTGCCTTCCATAATATAAAGGTCGTGAAGGTCAAGGATACTATTCCAGATCAAAAGAGACAGAAGAGTGATGACGACTAAATAGAAAGTGTGATCCTGAAATGGATCCTTTGACTAGAAAGAGCATTACTGGGAAAGTTGGCCTAACTCGAATTGGGGTCTCCCGGTGAAGGATACATGAGAGTTCTTTGAACAACTCCTACAACATTTCTGCAAGCTTGAAATTCTTTTGACACAAAAAGTAAGACATACTTTGTACAGGAAATCTGAGCTTTTAGTTTTTACTTTATTTTACAAAGTTAAAAGGAATAGTTTCTGAATTCTTTTTTATTTTGGATTTTTGTAAGAATCTTACAGGGTATAATTATTAGACTTTTAGTTCTGAATTTCTGTGGTTGTTGTGCAGAGAAGAATATAGTTCTATGAGATAGGGACTTTTCTGGATGTGTGATATCATTTGTGTAATTACGGAAATTCATTCATATTTGACTGGGAAAATAGTTAGAACCTTGGAGTGTCTTAAGGCCATTGTTGAGATATTTATGAGGCATTTTAGATTAATGGGATTATGAGTTGGTGTTCTGGAGTCATGTTTCCTGAGCTCAAATCCCGCGCCCACCACTTACCAGTGTGTGACTTTGAGCAAGTGAACTAACCTGTTTCTTGTGTCATCTATAAAATGTAGGTAACAATAGCACCTATCTCGTGTGGCTATTGTGCAGACCATCTGATTAATACTAGTAGAGTGCTGAGAAGAGTACTGGCTTAGATAAAATGCTGTGTTGTTGTTGTTATTATCATCATTATATATTATTGCTACTGCTGCTGTTACTGTTACAATATGGGGTGTAATTTGTGTAGCACAGGGAGGGGAACATCACACACTGGGGACTGTTGGGGAGTGGGGGGAAAGGGGAGGGAGAACATTAGGACAAATACCTAATGCATGCAGGGCTTAAAACCTAGGTGACAGGCCAGGCACAGTGGCTCACGCCTGTAATTCCAGCACTTTGGGAGGTGGGTGGATCACGAGGTCAGGCGTTTGAGACCAGCCTGGCCAACATAGTGAAACCCCATCGCTACTAAAAATACAAAAAATTAACCAAGTGTGGTGGTGGGCCCCTGTAATCCCAGCTACTTGGGAGGCTGAGGCAAGAGAATTGCTTGAACCCAGGAGGCAGAGGTTGCAGTCAGCTGAGACTGCACCACTGCACTCCAGCCCGGGTGACAGTGCGAGACTCTATCTCAAAACAAAAAACAAAAAACCCTAGATGATGGGTTGATGGGTGCAGCAAACCACCATAGCACATGTATACCTATGTAACAAACCTGCACGTTCAACACATGTATCCCAGAACTTAAAGTAAAATTAAAAAAAAAAAAAAAAAAGAAAAAAAAAATAAAGGACATTTCTGAAGCAAAAAATAAAAAAATAATAAAAATAATTGTGTAGCAAAGGCTAGAGAAACGAGCTAAAGGAAATTTCATATGGCAATTTGTTGGAAGTTTGATCCCTTCTCACACTCTGATGATAGAAAGGCCATAATGCCATTGATTTTGGATACTGACACCGTGTACTGATCCTTTAAGATGCTTTCTTATTTGCAAAGCCAGCTGCCACACCCAAGCACACTTTAGAGTTTCTTTACCCTTTATTCAGGGAAAAGCACACATTTTAAATGTTCAAGAAGAACAGCAGAAACAAGACAGGATCAAAGCAAAATACAAAGAAAACAAGATTGGAGAATCAGAGGATCAAGATCCAAGGAAAAATGTTTACTTTGGCAGAAATACCTAGAAAATATAGTGACTGCAGGCCTTGTTTCAAGTTCACATATTGAATCTCAACATGTTTACTTATTTGCAAGTGTAAGTAAATGTATGCAGCACACTGAGTTAGCAAACATGGAATATCCCTGAAGGAGGGAGATGTACTGCTCATCAGTGTTGTCCACAGTGCACCCTGCATCCTACCGCTTGCTCCGGGCTCTCCAGCCTGTTCCTTTTCCTGAAAGGGCTTCCAGTCAAGCTCATGATCTATTATTATATATGATACTTAGAGAATATTGAGCATTAAGCATTTTTATTTCTTTATGCTTTGTTTCTAAAAGGGTTCAAAGGAACAAATTTAATTGTCTGTTATCCTAAGAAATGCTTAATTGTCCAGAATAGATCTTCATTAACAAAGTATAAAGTGAAAGAAGAGACCAATTGGCAAAGAGAGAGAAGATAGAGGTTTCGACTAAAGCCTAGAAGAATAGGTAATGAATGACTACTCAGAAAGAAAGAATGGAGGAGGTCAAGGGTTTCACAGTGTATGCTTTCTTTTTTAGAACTATAAGCATGTTTCTGGTCATCTAGCCCGAAAGTCTAAGTTTTTTTAGGCATAGGAGAGTTTCAGATATATTGTGAACACATAGCCCATTGCTTGGTCCTCTGTCTGAAATACCCAGGTTGTCTCCCCTTGATTCAGTCTCTTGTCACTATCTCACCCTGACTATAGTATTTTGAATTTTAGATGATATACATATTTTGAGAAGCACTAGCAATCAAGTGGGAATAAACCATCTAGGATTACTCATACCATCTAAGTTTTAAAACTCTTTGCTAGAGTATATGGAGCTATGTCAAGACAGTGTGTTAAGGTTGTTCTGTGATTAAGAACTCAGAACCTAGAGCCAGAATCCTTGGGTACAAATCGTGACTGTCATTTGCTAGCTGTGTTCCATTTTCTTCATCTGGAAAATGATATCAATGATAAGAAACAACTATGGGCCAGGCACGGTGTCTCATGCTTGTAATCCCTGCACTTTGGCAGGCCGAGGCGGGCAGATCACTTGAGGTCAGGAGTTTGAGACTAGCCTGACCAACGTGGCAAAACCCTATCTCTATTAAAAATACAAAAATTAACTGGGCATGGTGGTGCATGCCTGTAGTCCCAGCTACTCAGGAGGCTGAGACAGGAGAATCACTTGAATCCGGGAGAAGGAGGTTGCAGTGAGCAGAGGTCATACCACTGCACTGCAGCCTGGGCCAGAGAGCGAGACTTCGTCTCAAAAAAAAAAAAGAAACAAATGTGGTTACATGGGAAAAAATACCAGCAATATAGGAAGCTTTCAAAAAATGTTAACTGGTGTGTATTTGCCTAATGAGTAGAAATAAAAAACTTTAGTACTATTTGGAGACTTGGTATGTTTACATGATTCAGTAATAACTATGCAATATCTCTCCTTCACACAAAGTTCTAATAAATCATTGCTTTTTCTGTAGGTAAAATCTGCTGGTGGAGTCACTCCATTATTCTTATCTGTGGAGATCTAGATCTTGATTTGAAAGTTTCTGAGAAAATCTTCAGCTCAGACTTGAGGTCAACTTTACCAACTGAAGGTAAAAGCTAATTTTATTCATTTAAGTATGAATTGCTCATTACTAAAGCATAGAAAATAAAGATCATTAACATGTCTTATTAACTAGAACATATCAGATAGAATCCTGGTTTCTTGATGTTGAAAAAATTATGAAATACTAATAGAAACAGAGAAAAATGGCCAAGCATGGTGGCACACACCTGTAATCCCAGCACTTTGGGAGGCCAAGGCGGGTGGATTATCTGAGGTCAGGAGTTCGAGACCAGCCTGGCCAACGTGGTGAAACCCTGTCTCTACTAAAAAATACAAAAATTAGCCAGGTGTGGTGGCAGGTGCCTTAATCCCAGCTACTTGGGAGGTAGAGGCAGGAGAATTGTTTGAACCCAGGAAGTGGAGGTTGCAGTGAGCCGAGATCAAGCCATTGCACTCAAGCCTTGTTCTTGGGAACAAGAACGAGACTTCTTTCAAAAAAGAAAAAAGAGAAAAATAAGATAAAATGAGTAAGGAGAAAAGCTTGTTTCCTGTTATGGTTATGGAAAGCTTTATAATAAGCATCATCAAATCCATTTTTTTTTTAATTTTATTTTTTGGAGACAGGGTCTCACTCTGATACTCAGGCTGCAATGCAGTGACACAATCCTAGCTCACCACAGCCTTAAACTCCTAGGCTCTAGTGACCCTCCCGCCTCAGCCTCTCAAGTAGCTGGGATTGCAGGAACATGCCGCCACATCGAGCTAAGTTGTTTTCATTTTTTAAAAACTAGAGACAGGGTTCTCAGCCTGTTGTCCAGACTGGTCTCAAGCTCCTGCCTCAATCTCCCAAATTGCTGGGATTACAGGTATGAACCACCACACCTGGCCTCATATCCATTTTTTATATCTACAGTACCCAGTTGTTGAAATAATCTTAAAATTTTGGGAAAACAAATAAACTAAGAAACAACCTGCTGCAGGACTGGAGCAGTTGGTGAACAGAATAAGAGAGTATTGAAAAAGATGCAAATTTTTCTGTAAAAACCAGTAGGTGGTAAGCCTGCTGCCCGCAGCCAGGAGACCGGATAGTGGAGAAAACCTCTTCTGAGATGCTCCTATTCATTTTATGGTTAAGTAAATTATTTTACACTGTTAAACATGGATGTCGTCGTTGTTTTTAAATGGGGGGCAACTTCCAATAACTGGCTTATTTTCTCATCAGTCTGTGTCTCCTGTTCTTCAGAGGTTGTTCTTAACATCCTGCATTCACCTCGAATTTCCTACCCCTCCAAGTTGCCAGTTACTGCCAGTCAGAAAAGAAGCTTCAGATGTCAACTCCCTCAAATTTTGCCTCCAGGCCTGCACAATTAACCTGTACTCACTTTCAGTGCTTTGTCACTAGTGAAAGGCAAACCACATCCCAGTCCCACTTAGCTCCTTCTTCTGCTCTGGAACCACCTCCTTCTCCCTGCTCCAGAACCACCTCCTTCTTCCTGCTCCGAAAGTGTGGAAACCCACCTCCTTCCTCCGGCTTCGGAACCACCTCCTTCTTCCTGTTCTGCAGCCTGCCTCCTCCTTCCTGCTCTGGAAACTGCCTTCTCCTCCTTCCTGCTTGGAAACTTCCAAAACCCACCTCCACGTTCCTGCTCTGGAACCACCTCCCTTTTCTTGCTCTGGAACCTGCCTTCTCTTTCATCTTGTACTGGGATTTGCTTCCTCCTTCCTGCTCTGGAACCAGCCTCCTCCTTCCTGCTCTGGAACCCATCTCCTCCTCCGGAACCCATCTCCTCCTCCCTGCTCTGGAACCTGCCTTCTCCTCCTTCCTGCACTGGGGTCTGCCTCCTCCTTCCTGCTGTGGAACCTGCCTTCTCCTTCATCTTGCTCTGGGATCTGCCGCCTCCTTCCTGCTCTGGAATCTGCTTTCTCCTCCTTCCTGCCCTGGAACCTGCCTCCTCCTTCATCTTGCCCTGGAACCTGCCTCCTCCTTCCTGCTCTGGAAGTGCCAAAACTCACCTCCGTATTACTGTTCTGGAGCCACCTACTTCCTCCTGACCTGGAATCTGCCTCCTCCTTCTGGCACTGGGATCTGCCTCCTCCTTCCTGCTCTGAAAACTGCCTCCTCTTTCTTCCTTCTTCCTGCCCTGGACCCTGCCTCCTCCTTCCTGAGCTGGGAACTGCCTTCTTCCTCCTGCTCTGAGATTGCCAAAACCCATCTTCATGTTTCTGCTCTGGAACCAACTCCCTCTTCTTGCTCTGGAACCTGCCTCTTCTTTTCTGCTCTGGAACCTGTCTTCTCCTTCCTGCTCTGAGATCTACCTCCCCCTCCTTCCTGCACTGGGATCTGCCTGCTCCTTCCTGCTTTGGAAACTACCTCCCACCTGCTCTGGAACCTGCCTCCTCTACTACTCTGGGATCTGCCTCCTCCTTCCTACTCTGGAACCAACTCCGTCTTCTTGCTCTGGAGCTTGTCTCCTCCTTCCTCCCATCCAAGTACTAACCAGGCCTGACCCTGCTTAGCTTCTGAGATCAGATGAGATCGGGTGTGTTCAGGGTGGTATGGCCATAGACAGTCTCCTTCTCCTCCTTCCTCCTCTGGAACCTACCTCTTCCTCACTGCTCTGGTACCTGTCTCCTCTTTACCACTCTGGGATCTGCCTCCTCCTTTCTGCTCTGGAACCCGCCTCCTCTTTACTGCTCTGGGATCTGCCTCCTTCTTTCTGCTTTAGAACCCGCCTCCTCTTTCCTGTGCTGAAACCTACCTCCTCCTTCCTGCTCTGGGACCCGCCACCTCCTTCCTACTCTGGGATCTGCCTCTTCCTTCCTGCTCTGGAACCTGCCTCCTCTTTACTACTCTGGAATCTGCCTTCTCCTTTCGGTTCTGGAACCTGCCTCCTCCTTCCTGCTCTGGAACCTGCCTCCTCCTTCCTGCTCTGGAACCTGCCTCCCGCTTCCTGCTCTGGAACCTGCCTCCTCCTTCCTGCTCTGAGACCTACCTCCTCTTCCTGCTCTGGAACCTGCCTCCCGCTTCCTGCTCTGAGACCTACCTTCTCTTCCTGCTCTGGAACCTGCCTCCTCCCTCCTGCTCTGGATCTTCCTCCGCTTCCTGCTCTGGAACCTGCCTCCCGCTTCCTGCTCTGAGACTACCTCCTCTTCCTGCTCTGGAACCTGCCTCCTCCCTCCTGCTCTGGGATTCCTCCCGCTTCCTGCTCTGAGACTACCTCCTTCCTGTCTGGAACTGCCTCCTCCTTCCTGCTCTGGAACCTGCCTCACCCTTCCTGCTCTGGAACCTGCCTCCCGCTTCCTGCTCTGAGACCTACCTCCTCTTCCTGCTCTGGAACCTGCCTCCCGCTTCCTGCTCTGAGACCTACCTCCTCTTCCTGCTCTGGAACCTGCCTCCCGCTTCCTGCTCTGAGACCTACCTTCTCTTCCTGCTCTGGAACCCGCCTCCTCCCTCCTGCTCTGGGATCTTCCTCCCGCTTCCTGCTCTGGAACCTGCCTCCCGCTTCCTGCTCTGAGACCTACCTCCTCTTCCTGCTCTGGAACCTGCCTCCTCCCTCCTGCTCTGGGATCTTCCTCCCGCTTCCTGCTCTGGAACCTGCCTCCCGCTTCCTGCTCTGAGACCTACCTCCTCTTCCTGCTCTGGAACCTGCCTCCTCCCTCCTGCTCTGGGATCTTCCTCCCGCTTCCTGCTCTGGGATCTTCCTCCTGCTTCCTGCTCTGAGACCTACCTCCTCTTCCTGCTCTGGAACCTGTGTCTTCTTGTGCTGGAACCCACCTCAGTTTCTCCTTTCTCCTTATCAGCTATTGTTTTTGTCACTTCCCCCTTCTTTTTCTTCCTTTTGATTCCTTTGTTCAGTATTTTCAAATATTCACTATTATTTTTTTCTTTTTTAAGAGATTATTTATATGCTACACAAATATTTTCACATGTAGAATTCAGTGGTTTTTAGTATATTCACAGAATTGCATGACTCTTTATGATCTAAAATTCCATGATCTAATTTCTGATTTGTTTCATCACCTCAGTGAGAAACCCATGCCCATTAGTAGGTGCTCCCCATTTTCCTCTTCTCAGTCCCTGGAAAACGCTAATCTACTTTCTGTTTCTGAGGATTTGCCTATTTTGGACATTTTATGTAAATGGTATCATACAATTTATAACCTTTTTGTATCTGACTTTTTTCACTTAGCATAAGTTTTTAAGGTTTGTCTATGTTCATACATGTGGTAGCATGAATTGCTATTTTGTTCTTTTTTATGACTGAATAATATTCCATTTTGGAATGGAGCACATTTTGTTTATTGATTCATTAATTGAGAGACATTTGAAATGTTTCTACTTTTTGACTGTTTAGAATAATGCTGCTATGAACATTCATGTACAAGTTTTTATGTGGATGTATGTTTTCAGTCCTTTTGGATATATATTTAGGAGTGACATTTCTGGGTCATAGGGTAATTCTATGCCTAACATTCTGAGGAACTGCCAAACTGTCTTCCCAAGTGGCTGTACCCTTTTACCTTCTCACCAGCAATGTATGAGGTTTCCAATTTCTCTATATCCTTCCCGTTACCGGTTATTGTCAATCTTTTTAAATATAGCCGTCCTAGTGGATGCAAAGTGGTTACTTATTTCCTAGTCTCTCTTGGACACCACTTCTTTTGGGGAATTCTTCTGAACACCCTGAAATCCTTTCTCCAGGTTGTGTTAAATGTCCCTGTATTAGTCCGTTTTCACACTGTTGATAAAGACATACCTGAGACTGTGTAATTTATAAAGAAAAAGAGGCTTGGTGGACAGGTCCATATGGCTGGGGAGACCTCACAATCATGGTGAGACTTCTTACCTGACAGTTTCAAGAGAGAATGAGAGAGCCAAGCAAAAGCGGTTTCCCTGTATAAAAACCATCAGATCTTGTGAGACTTATCACTATCATGAGAACAGTATGGGGGAAACTGTCCCCATGGTTCAATTATCTCCCACTGGCTCTCTCTCATAACACATGGGAATTGTGGGAGCTACAATTCAAGACGAGGTTTGGGTGG